AGAAATGATTAGATAAGCAGCCCACCTCTAGTATGAAACTGTTTAATGACGCATTTAATAAAGCGGTGTTTTATTGAAAAAGTTACCGTTAGTTGCAAAAATCTAGTTAGAATGAGTAACACTGACACTTTTAAGTGCCTCCCCACCCCAAATCTTTGTTCCTAAACCTCTGTCACTCTAAGCCATCCTCTCTCCCTACACATTTTCTGTCTTAATGCAAAAGCGCAGGTGTGCCTGAGCAGCCCCAGAGTCTTCAGAGGCAAAAGCAGAAATGCCAAAAATGTATGCAAAGGGTCCCAACAAGAAAAAAGAAAGAATCTGAAGGGAAAGAAAGGAAAAAAAAAAAGGGGGGGGGGGAAAAAGCTACAGGTGTTCAGGGATTTGCTCAGTCATCCTTGTCTTTTGCTCCATGTTTAAGGATGCGTGTAAATTCAATGTAGTTGAAATTGCCCTTTTTGTCAATTGGTGCCTCTCTGTAGAGCTCATCTACCTCTTCATCTGTGAACCTGTCTCCCATTGTGGTCAGCAGCTCCCGCAGGTAGTCTTCTTGAATGAACCCTAGAATGCAATGTAAAGAGAAACACAAAATGGAAGTTGTCTCCAGCAGGTCTTCGAAAGCAGTGCGGTGAACATTAAGACAGCCCAATTCTTTTAACTGAATAATATTTTTTCTTGATGGACTTAGATAGATTTGTGCATCCTTTATTAACTAGTTTCCCGTGGGGACCAAACAACCACTGGTTGGCTCTTCAGTGCTGCATGAGCATTATGGTCCTTTTCAACCCAGGCCATTCTATGATGATGTCACTGGAGCTGACATGTGTGGATCAGCGAGCTGCAGGCAAGCGTCCAAGGAAGGAGTTTATAACAGAACAGACTTTAAGGCAGGATTGAGTAAATTAACCTAGGAAAGAGGAAGAATGTGTACCATGGAGAGGTAGGAGCAGAAATGAGACCTCCCATGCCTTGTCAAATCAGTAAAAGAACAGAGATAGAGGAATATACCAAGAAAAAGTAAACTAGGCAGTACTGTTGGAAATCATTAGTAGACACCAACAAGGACTTATTTAGAATCAGTTGGGATGTGATAAAAATAAATTCTGCTTTGGAAACAGAGTCATAAAACTTAAGCAAACAAAGTTCTTTAGAGAGCAAACCAAATAGGGAGTCAGGGAATCAAAAGGCAGTCAGTGAGCATGATAAATTGCCATGAGGCTGGTCCGTGCCGTGGGGAAGCAGCACAGGAAAAAAACAACACAAACACATTACAACACATGTTAAATATGTTAAAACAGCATCATACTAGCATAGGTAGACCAGCCCTTGATTAATGAATCCAAATGAAGAAGGCTAACAACAATGTTCTCCTTTAAAACCAGGAGGAGAATGTTCAATTAGTGGGTCAGATTTTGCAGTTGTCTCTTTGCAGGTGTGAGTAAAGAAAGGGGAAAAAGAACAAACAACAAAAAAGCTAAAGGCATTAAGTCTTTGTACTTCAACAGCACCACAGAGACCAAACAGTGATGAGAGATGACATAAGGATTAGTATACAAAGAATGCAAGGCCTTTGGTGCAGCAATTTTAGCCTCAAGGACTTAATTGCTTTTGTCTGAGTAGGTTAGATGTCGAAACACCACACTGGGTTACCAGAAGAGCATACACTAGAAGTTTTAGCAGCACAGAATCATAAAGTAAATAGTTTTCCCACTCCCCCTAAAACAAGCTCTCGCACAGTTTCAGTATAGACAGGGAGTAATCTAATTAGTGAAGCAAAATGCAAGATTTAACGTTTGGCAGACAGCACAAAACAAATAACAGAGCAGGATCAAAGAGCAGAAAAAAAGTTATACTAAATGAAGACAGATATAAGCCTTTATGCTAATTTCATGGCACTACTGTTTTATGGGACAGTAATGCTGAAGTAATATCAACAGCAACATTGAAAATATAGGAAAAGTAAATAAAACCAAGTCCAGCTCCTTTATCTTCATCAAGTGGGTCTGATTTGTATCATTCTGCCTCAGAAGAACTGCACTGATGTAGAATATGAAATCAGGCACATAACACAGACACACGAAGATGATTAAAATTGAAAGAAGGAAAAATAAAAAGAAAATAAAAGCACAAGGGTTCAACATAGCTGGAAGAGCTAAACCTGAGGATAAAATGAATAAGGAGCAAAAATAAAAAGTAATGTAGAATGCATGTTATTTTGAAGACTGCATCTTGATTACTGTTAATAAATAGGACAGCATAGATATTTAACATGTTTCCCGGTGAAAGTGTGAGCATGGCATAAGGCAGAAAAAATACTGTGGAATCATTATCTTCACATTATCCTAGGACTAGACTAAGAGGTTCATCATTGAGTTTAAAGATGACAAAATTCAATCTTATCAGAACATGGGGGCCTGACCTAATAACGTACTATCTATGTAGACACAGAAAGTAACTGTTCAAAAGAACTGGTAGCACTGTCACTGTCTTTATATCCTAATTCACAGGCTCATGTTCTGGTGCACACAAAAAAAGCCTTGCAGCACAGTGAGTCAGACTACCTGTGGAGAGAAAATAACCGACTAAAAAAACTTCTTTCTCCAGGAGATGGTAAAGAGATTTCCCTTGAGAGGGAGGAAGTCAATTAACATTTGAAAAGCCTTTACCAACAGAAAGCCTGTTTACCTACATCCCAACAGGAAGGGATGTAACTTTGAAAAGGCAAAAGGTGCTAAAAATACACAGACAGAAAATAGCTGCTTGAAATGGACTAATATCCTTTGAAAGGTTCAGAGCGCACATCCACAAATTAGATGGCAGCACCGTGGTAGACTACTGTGAGAAAAGTAATAGGTGCAGTGCTATCTATAGTGCAGAGGCTATGTGATTTCTGTGTACACTGGTATGGCAGGTTCACAACGTGTCAAAGCCCTGATATTGCGTTTCCATAGAATAACCTTAGGATTAATCTCTGCCTGCTACACAGTTCTCCAGAATGTTTTCCTGTATTAATAAATAAATAAAAGCATAAATTCTAACTTCATGATTACAGACACAACCTTGAAAGCTTGATACAGTAGAAGTGAACTCTGCATTTCATTCTTCCTCCTCCCTCATTATGCCAGTCTATTCAATGCCATTTCTGTCTTCTAGACCCCACCCTGATTATATCTGTAAATCACTACAGTCCCTCCTGCTACCTCAAAACAACTGAGCTGAGTGTGAGGGCATGACATAGGCTATTTGTTATCATAGCCTAAGACACGCTAGGCAATATGAAGAGTCAGAAGAAAAGGTTTGCATACTCTGGATCACCTATCTTCAAATATTGAATACATCACATATTCATATATATCTCAAGCCTACCACAGGGGAAGGACAAACTCAGTGGCATTATAGGTTTCACATCTACTCCTTTTAAATGTCACAGAAACGTCCCATACGATCAATACAAATACCCCAAAGCAGTTGAGTTTCGCCCACATACCTGTTGCTTCTTCGTCAAAGCAAGCAAAAGCATTCCTGATGACATCTTCTGGATCAGTGCCGTTGAGCTTCTCACCAAACATTGTGAGGAACATTGTGAAGTTGATGGGGCCTGGAGCCTCGTTCATCATGGCATCCAGGTATTCATCCGTTGGGTTCTTTCCTACAAACAAAACAATTCCTGCTTTAGCTTTTAAACTAAAATAAAAAAATGGATAAAAGTCACCTGAATACTGTAATACAAAGTGGGACACCTCTCATAAGCTATCCCAAACTCAGCGTTTTAATTACAATAGCATAAATACGTTTGGCAGCTGTAAACAGAAGAGAGACATTACCGAGGGAGGCAAGCATGTCGTGCAGGTCCTCCTTGTCAATGAAGCCATCCCTGTTCTGATCAATCATGTTGAAGGCTTCCTTGAATTCCTGAATCTGGGACTGATCAAACATGGCAAATACATTGGATGTGGCGCGCTGAGGGCGCTTCTTGGTGGTCTTCGTCTTTGCTTTTTTGCTAGACATGTTGATTTTGGGATACTGAGAGAAAAATAAATAGAATAAGGCCAGACTTAGGACTTGAGAAGAACGTACTAAGTTTTAGGCTTTCAGAGTCAGAAAGCACCTGTACCACCCTTCTGCTTCCTCTCATCAGAACATATTTCCTTAATGAAGAAGGGCAAAAGAGAAGCAGGAAATAGGATGGGACAGACCAAAACGATGAAAAAAGTCACCAACATATAAAGTTGCACGTACCTTTCACTCTGAGAAGGAACAGCTTTTGTCTGGATTCCCTTCTTAGACCTGTCTACAAGAATGGAACTCCGGTCTCAACCCTAAACGAGAAAAGTGAGGTTCAGAAAGCTGTTGCTGAGCTCACGAAATAACTCTATGGATATGTGTAATATTCGAGAGCAGGGGAAAGAGAACTCGAGCTCGGTTCACCTGAGCAAAGTCTGAAGTGCCAACGCGTGGCACCTGACAGCAGCAAGGATTACTGTTCTATATAACAGCGGGTCTTTGCCTTGCCTTCTATTATTTAAAAAAAAAAAGCAAACAACCCCCCCCATTTTGCGACGTTAGAGAAACGGTGCAGGCTGTTCTGCAGACAGTAGCAGTTGCGACGCTTCCGCCGCCTCACACCGCTGCTGCCCCAGCGGCCGCCTCCCACCCCCAGCCTCACCTCAGCGGCTGCCGCGGAGCCTCGGTGCGACGGCGAGTGGAGGAAGCGGCAGCAGCTCAGGCGCTTCCTGGTGAAACCACCGCCCTCCCGGCGGTGGGTGGAAGAGGGCGGCGGGCCGGGACCGGGGCCGGGCGGCCAGGGGAGGGGCTGTGGGGCCGCCAGGGGAGAGCGCGGAGCAGCAGGGTTGCCGGAGCGATCGCAGACACTGAGACGGCCGCCTCGGGGCGGCTCCGCAGCCTCCCGTTCCCCCCCGGGAGCGGCGCGGTGGTGCAGCCGGGGCGGGGCGCCGCCGTTCTAGGGTGGGGGCGGCCGGGGCAGGAGGTGGCTGTGGGGGTGCGTCGTGCCTGCGTGCTGGTGTACCGGCTCACCCGGCTTCAAAATTCACCTCTAGTCCCTGAGTCAGCTGCTTCTCTGGTTCAGGTGCTCCTTTGGTTTTTAAACCTTCCTAAGCAGGGTGCTTAGGCACATTCTGTGGGCTTGAGGTCTATGCAGTCGCTCGGACTGTGTAATATCGTTGTTTAAAGACATAAAAAACTGTGAAATATTGTCAGTTTGGAGAGCTGTGCTGTCAGCTTGCCTCTCCTTTATCCCTTTTCCTACTGCTGTCAGCTTCACCGGTATACAGCCAGTGCCTGAGTAAAATGGTGAGTAAAATGGTAAGTAATAATGAAAAGGGGGGAAAAAAAATAAGATGAACAGGTTTCTCTGCAGTTTCCAATTGCACCTAATGTCGATGGGTTAAGTTTGGGCACTGTACATGTTGAAGTTAATACCTAAACGGGGCTATGAGAAAGAAGGGGACATGCTCTTTGCCAGGGTCTGTTGTGAGAGGACGAGGGGGAATGGTTTCCAACTAAAACGGGAGATTTAGATTGGATATAAGAAAGAAGTTTTTAACAGTAAGGTTGGTGAGGCACTGGAACAGGTTGCCCAGAGAGGTGGTGGATGCCCCATCCCTGGAAGCGTTCAAGGTCAGGCTGGAGGGGCTCTGAGCAATCTGATGCAGCTGTAGGTGTCCTTGTTCACTGCAGGGCAGTTGGACTGGGTGGCCGTAAAGGATCCCTTCCAACTCTTAACAATTCTGTGATTCTGTAATGCATCCTCTGGAAGCTATGGTTCCAGATTTGGAGGCAGAGACATTAATTGCTGGAAGGCCCAAATTTTTACTCCTTCTCAGAAGGGCTAAGGTCATGAGGTCTGAGAAGTTACCTAGTTAATTACTAAGACTACTTCCCTGGCAAATTCTAACATCCCTTTTCCAAAACTAGCATGAAGATGCAGTGGTACTCAACTTTGTTGAATCAAGAACACGCTTGTGGAAAAAATGCCCTTTGCTCACCAGGTATGGCTCATAGTTTCACGGTAATTATATGCAAAGTGCAAGTGGGCAGAAAAGAGGTAGAGACACTAAGACAATACCGGAGTTATTAAAGTAATCCGGGACAATCCTGAACAACTGAACTGTGTGTTGAAATTTGATTATGAAGGTAGTTATTTCAGATCTTAATCTAAAATCCTGCCATCGGTTAAGTTGAACCAGTTGCAAGTGTACTGCTCTGTACTGGATTTGTCCAAACACTCCTTGAACTCCGGCACTTAGGGCCCTGTGCAGCCCGTTCCATGCCCGCCATGCAGCACCTGTCCCTCACCCCCAGCTGCCCTCCCCTGACGCAGCTCCATGCCGCTCCCTCGGGCCATGTCGCTGTCACACAGAGCAGAGCCCAGCGTTGCCCCTCCGCTCCCTGCGAGGAGCTGCAGCCGCCATCAGGCCTCCCCTCGAGTTAGAGGTAGCAGGGCTGGTGATTGGGAGGATGGCGGTGTAGCTGAGCGCGGCCCCGAGAAGCAGCGCCACCTCGTGACCAGTTTTGCTTTCAAACCGCGCGTCTGTGGGCTGCAGAGAAAGCGCAAACGCTGCCTCCTCCAGAAAAGTATGCCAGCAGCTTGTTTGGTTCTCAGTGCCGCATATTTTCCCAGAGAAGCATGTAGAAGAAGAATTAATTAACCCTTTCTTAAAACTTTTTTTTGATGCTCCTTCAATTTTCTTCTAACTCTTCTGCTTAATGAATCGGTCAGGATTATTTGGTGCTGCTTCTTAAATCTACTGAATGTTGCAGGGACAGCTGTGCTGGCTCACTGTAGAAGCTCCAGTCTCCCCCAGAACCAGAAAATCATAGAATCATTAAGATTGAAAGAGACTTCTAAGATCATCTAGTCCAACCATCAGCCCATCACCACCATGCCCACTAACCACGTCCCTCAGTGCACTATCTTTGAAGAGCTGCAGGGTCTGACTGTGGATAGCAGGGAGTAGTTTTGGACATCCTTTGGCTGTGTGTGTTCTACAGCGGAGTTGGTCTCTTCTCACTGGTGACAGGTGACAGGATGAGGGGAAATGGCCTCAAGTTTAGTTTGGATATCAGGAAACACTTCTTTACAGAAAGGGTTGTTAAGCACTGGAATAGGCTCCCCAGGGTGGTGGTTGAGTCACCATCCCTGGATGTGTTTAAAAACCATCTAGTTGTGGTGCTCAGGGACATGATTTAGTGGAGGTTGTTAGATTAGGATAGTATGGTTAGGTTGTAGTTGGATTCGATGATCTTTAAGATCTTTTCCAACCTGAGCAGTTCTTTGATTCTACCTGCTCCACGGAGGCAGTTGCATCGAGTTAGTGGGAGCCATGGAGCCTGTCTACTTGTTTACAGTAATGGTGAAAAACATGCCTGTTGCAAGGATAGAAGGAAATGTGAGACCTGCAGTTGGCCATACATAACAGCAGAGCAAGCTTGTTAGGACTGCTCAGGCTGGAGTTTTGTTTGATATTCAGACTTTGCTGCCTCCTAAGAGGGTGAAAACCATGAAGCTGAAATTAAAAGAGATTGTCTAAGTCTCAACCTGATTTTTTTGGCAAGTCAAAATTGTCCCTCAAAGAGGGGAGGGGACAGCCTTGCAGCTTGTGTTCTGCTTCTTCCTGTATTAAAGGGGAGCACCACTGGGATGTATTTACTACTTCCTTGAATGCCTTCAATAAACAATAGACATTTGTGAGGTCTCCCCACTAGGTCTCTTGGAAGGACTTTTGTCTTTTTATTGTTGTTGCTTTTTATTTTCTGTTCTTGCCATCACCCCATGCCTCTTTTTTTTTTCCCCCTCTGAAAATTGGAATTATCAGTTCATTTGTTCATTTTGTTTCTGTTTTTAAAATTCCTTTCTCTATACTCTCCTCTTTGGAGGGGAGAGAGCAGGGGATGTTTTTAGCCTGTGTTCAGGGGAGGGCCAGAACCGATGCTCATATGCGGATATTTAGTGAAGAACTGAGGAAGTATATGATATCCTCCCTGAACCCTTTCCCAAGCTCTTCTATTTTTGGTTCATGGGGAGGTAAGATACCCTGAGCCAGATGTGCTCTTTAGTAGCCCTTGATGATCTATGTAATGAGCCTGCCTAGTATGTAATCCTTGAATTGATATAAATTTAGCATCCACAATATCCTGTATGAGCATTTTGGGATTCTGTTGCAAAGTTACACCTTTTTATGTGAAATGAAAAGAATAAACACAAATTTTGATCTAAGGTCAAAAGAGTCATTTAACAAATGCATTTTGACTAAGTTCCTTCGCCTGGTATTTTGGCTCATTCCTCTCCCTTTCTGTCCTTTCCCTGATTCCAGCTGGTATCTGTTCTCTATGTAAAGCTGTCCTAAGTGCAGTGTTGTATCAGTCAGAGTGACGGTAATTCTTCTCTTGGCAGTCAGTGTGTCCCAGAATTGTTCTGAAATATCTCCAAAAATAGATCCTGTCCTGTGATCTAAAGGGAAAACATTTGAGACGTTTTAAATGAAGGAAGGGAGTCTGAATACATGACTTTCCTTGGATCTCTCGGAGAGCTTCACAGCAAGGCTTCTAGCCAATTTCTAGATATGTATTCCCTTTTTTGAGAAACCTCACGAATAAAAATAGTGCTCGACTGCTTTCCCAGGTGTTCCCTGCATCAGTACAGATTCTGCTGCAGGAAAAATAAAGGCTCTCAGAGAATGTGCTGTAGCCTGTAGGAAAAAAAAAATATATATATATATATATATGTATTATTTCTTCATAACGTGAATGAGAAATAGCTCTGTTTTGATTTTCTGGTAATTTTCAGTGAACCCCACTTAGGAGAGGGTGAGAATGGAAAGTCTGGAGAGCATCATATGACAGTGTTGCACCAAGGCGAAGGACAAAGCAGAGAAATGTAATAGAACATATATAAAATACAGTCAATCTTTGTTAAGAGTTGTAAAACAGGAGACAAAAAATTAAGACTGTGGTTTGATCACTGTATGAGTGAGGACTGAAGTGTAGCTGATAGAATGTGGGGGGACTGAACTCAGCAGAACTGAATGCGTTGCCAGTTTTACATTCACAGGTTCAAAGTCCTTTATATATATATAGGCAATAGGAAAAAAAAAAAAAAGTTGAAAGTACAACTTGGGCTGTGATGCCTGTATATGATTGTCCCTTCTTACCTGTTCTCTATGATAAAGAATTCTCTGTATTGCTTTTTCTTCTGTATGTCCCTTGTTTTTTATCCCAGCTGGCAAGATGCAATAATTAAGCCATATTCTTGTGCTCTTTCTATGCTTTTTTGCACTTGTTATCAATAGAAGTATTGCCAGGCACCACGATTCCACAGTGTTTGTACATGAAATGCAAAAATAAACAAGTGTTGTTAAGGTATTAGTGTGAAGAGATTGACAACTCCAGTCTTTCAGACACGTGTAATGGCTTCTGCTAAACCAAAGCACATGCCTGTGTGGCTTCTCATGTTAAATCAGCGCGTGTCTATTTGACGAACTGCATGTACAAATAAGGAAGAAAATGAAATTTGTTCGATGCTTGGCCAAAGTCCTAGAATGGTATTTTAAAGCACCCAGAAAACAAGAAGGAGCACATTTAGTTGGCTGTTTGCCGTAAAAAGTAAATTGTTATCAAGTGTTCTTATTAGCTGATGCTTATAAAGCTTTGTTGGCTGGTGTTCCAATTTCAGAGTTAACATGCTTCTTGTGGGCTGATGATGTGTTGACAGTGTAAGACCTGTTGCTTTAGAGATGATAAGCTCATGACTAAGGAGAAGGAATTTCACAGAGGTAAAAAATATATATACCTGTTAGATACAATGCAAAGTCAAGGCTTAAGTTACTCTTGTCTGATGCCAGCTCTGTTCTAGCAAATACTAAGACCAGGCTTGCCGTCCTCATTCTACACCCACTCACTTGCCAACTTGAGACAAAGGCTGTAACTTACTGTAATTCTCAAAGAAAAATCTGCAACTTTCACAAGTCAAAAAAACACCAGCAAAAAAACCCAAACCAAAACAACAAAAGGAGTAGTTCAATATTTTGTGAGGTTGCACACACTGATATTTTAAAATAGTGAAAACAAGGAACTTACAAATAAAGATTAAATACGTTTTGCAAAGGTGAGCAGAGATGCTGACCAGAATGCTGAAAGGAATGCTGCAGCCACATACTGTCTGCCTCCTGAGGCATCCATATTCAGGTTAGACTTCACTTGCCTCATCCTGTAGTATTTGTAACTGCACTTCAGGCTTGATCCAAGGACAGCACTGACTTACAAAGGAAACGAATCACCACCATATGGTAAAGGAGACTGTTGGGATTTTCCAGGAGGCGTTTTGATTTCCTATCCTGCTGTTAATCACATGCTTTAAAGAAACACTTGAACATCTGCTAGAGCTACTAGGATATGAGTATCCTGAGTTGGAAGGGACCACAAGGACCATGGACTTTAACTTCTGGTTCACAAAGCAGCAGTCAGAATTCAAACCTTATGTCTGAGCCCTCGGCAGCCACTGCCCTCTGGTGCAGACCTTTTCCCTAACCCCCAGCTGCCCTCTCCTCACACAGCTCCATGCCGTTCCCTCAGGCCCTATCACTCTCAAACAGCAAAGCTGAGTGCTGCCCCTCCGCACCCTGTGAGGAGCTGCAATCGCCATCAGGCCTCCCATCAGCTCCTCTGCTCTACGCTGAGCAAACACAGGGATCGCAGCCTCTCCACATAGACGTTTCCTTTCTAGACCCTTTTTGTAGCCCTCCTTTGGACGCTAACAGTTTCATATCCTTCTCATGCTGTGGCACCCAGAGCTGCACACGTGCTTGAGGTGGGGCCACAGAGCGCAGAGCACAGCAGGACAATCCTTTCGGTCGCCCAGCTGGCAGTGCTGGGTGTGATGCACCTGTTTCAGCCCTTTTGGCTTCTGGGTCACACTGCTGACTTCTTATCAACCAGAATCCCCAGATCCCTTTCTGCCAGGTTGCTCTCCAGTCTCTCATCCCCCAGTTTGTATGTATATATATATATATATATATATATATATATATCCAGGGTTGCCCCATCCATCCCATGTACAGAATCCAGCACTTGCTCTTGTTGAACTTCATGTAGTTGGCAATTGCCCAGCCCTCCCATTTTCAAGATCTCCCTGCCTCTGTCAAGGCCTCTCCAGCCTCAAGGGGTCAACAGCTGTTAATGTAGCATTATCTGCAAGCTTAGCATGCATTCAAATTCTGCATCCAGATCATTGATGAAAACTCCAAAGAGAACCGGCTCTAGAATTTACAGTAGTAATTATTTTTTACAAGATATAGCACAGGGATTCCCAAAGGATGTGCTGCCCCAGCAGGCTGTGTGCTTTTTCTGCCCTCAGCAACTGATCTTGTTCCTAGCAGAGCTAAGCAGTCCCAGGGAACTGGGAACTCATACAGCCTACAAACTAGAGGAGAAAACTGGAAGATAGCCACGTGCTGCTACTTCTAGTCCACACAACAAGAAGTTTTCTAATCTAATCTAATATCAAAAGGAACGTCAGGAAAACAATGATTTCTATTTGAGTCAATTTACTGGTTTCTCTTTGCCTCTGCACTGGCGCCTGTAATCCTGTTCCTAAGTTCACGCTGTTTGCTACCATGGTGCTGAATCATTTCTCTCAAGTAGGAGGATATCCAAAAATGACAGCGGAGTTTGAAAAATTAAGTGAGCACACCAAAATAGGAGCTTGGGCACACAAGCCATAGCAATGGCAGATTAACTGCTGCTATCTAAAATGTCCTTGCCTCTGCTTTCATTGTTACTCACACGTTATTTGGACTTAGACTGTCTTAATGCCTTCAGTGTAGTAAGAGCTACTCATTGCCTTTTGAAACACCGCGGGAATGTATCAGATAATACTTCAGTAACATTACTAACAAGAAAAGGCTGTGGACATGAGAAATATTTTACAAGATTTCAAGTATTTTCCAGCTTTCAGAACAAATGTAATGGGTAGGATACTAAAGCATAGTGTCACTAAAGGCCTGTTCCAGGATGGGGCCCATTTCATTCTTTAACATACACCAGTGATCCTAGAAACGAGAATGCTATCTAAAGATAGTTCTTAGATCAGTAATGAAACAGATCCTTACCTCCCTGTGTAAGTATACTACCTCTGTGACATCAGTCTGTTGCTAAGCTAGTCTTTTCAGCTGACTTCGTTTTGGGAATGCTTGTTATGTGATGACTGTGCTAATACATACCTTACTTAGAAGCATAATAAAAGAACAGAAACAAGCATATCCTGAGCGGTCAAAATGCTGCATATTACAGTATCTCAGCAACAGAGAGGAGGAAAAGCAAGCACAGGCAGCTCCAACACACACAGAGTCCTTTTTGGCTTTTTCTCATGCAGCTATCAGTCCTTAACTTCCGTTTGACCCTTGTGGATATAGCCTTAGAGCAGTATAAACAGACCACGTAAGAAATCACTGCTTTTCAGTAGTGCTTCACAGGGTACCATATATTAGATTTGAGACTATTAATTCTGTGCATCAGCTTAAGAAAATAATTTTTCATCATCAGCTTAGTCTGGCATAGAGGTTGGAAACACATTATATATGAGCCACAATGGAGAAATGACTAGATTCCAAGATTTTGACTGCAAAATGTTAAGTTTAAGTCATCAGAGTCTTAAGCTACTTCAACAACCAAAGTTATTTTTATTTTTGGAAGCGGATTATTGATGACACATCCCTCCAGCCCTAGGCATGCAACCTCAGCTGTCTCAACATTCCTTGCTGCCTAACTACAAAATGCATCTGATGCTCTTATATGGTCTCGTGGCTGGATTTATTCATGGCCTCCCAGTGGTTAAGAATTTTGCACCCAGTTGCAAGTTGACTGGTCTCCCATAGTACAACAAGAATTGTAGGGAAATGTGGCTGTGGATGGTCAGCAGTAGCTGTACTTGAAAATGCTTGGAAATTCTCCCTCAATAACATGTCTTCCTAAGCAAGTATTCTCACAATACATTTTCCTGTGGCCACCCCCATCAGAAAAACTGGCCAACAGCACAACACCCACACACTGCAACAAGGAACTAAACAGCTTCGCTCTCCTGTTAGCCTGGCTCTTGAGAAATTAACAGCAGCAGACTTTAGGTTAACAACTTCCTCTCAAGGAGGATACAAGGTTCCCTTTTACATAGATTTTATTTAGAACTGTAAAATCGCTATTTCAAAACTTATTTCCAGCAGAAAAATTCAAGTGGTTTCTTTGCTTACTGAGCCCAGCATACCAACACCTAAAATTTACTAAGATGATGAGATGAGGAAAATAATGGCTCAGAGACTTGCTGTTTCTAATAGAAGAGAAAACATCTTCCAAATCTTAAACCATTTGGCCAGAGTTAAAAAAAAAACAAAACCAACAACAAACGCCAACAAAATGAAGGTATATCCTTAATGCAGGCTTCTGTACATACACATAATATTGAATGACAAGATTGGACCAAAGTGACAGCCTAACTGCTCCTCAGTTTAATATTATATAGCAACATTTCAACAATACAATGTTTCCTTCATCTCAACACTTCCTCTGTGACAGCAGCATTGCAGGTGAAAATTCTGACACAAAACTGCCTCTGAATAAAAGAAAACTGAAAATAAGTCAGTTTTGGTAGACTCATTCAGGCATTCCACGGAGAAACACCATAGCAACCATACTCAAGAGGAAGGAAATAGTATAAGGACAATCTTTTGAGGAAAAGAGCAGCTGTGGCACTCTAAGGTAGTATAGTGAAGCACATGGTCTGGGTAGGAGGAAGAAACAAACTGAGGCAAAGTGACAGGTAGATAAAATGGAAATAGGAAAGCAGTAGTTACAAACCAATTATAATTAAGCACAGAAGTGGAAGAAACCACCCAGGAATGAACATCAAAGTATTTTTACTGAACGTACTTTGTAATACTGACTTATTTAGTTAGGAATACTAACAGAGCCAGAGCATTTTCAAGAACTGCCACCATCCCAATACAAACCAGAGCAGAAGGCAAGCCTTCCATACCACAAGGGAAACTGGACAAACATTTGCACCCTGGGGCATTTCATGCTGGCCCAGCCTTTACAAGCCCCTAAGCTAAAGTTCCTATTCTTTTGGGTCATTTAAATAATGTGAAACAGCTCAGGGAATAGTTTCTTTGATAAGAGATCTTAACTTCAGTTGGTAATTATGTTGGCAAGACAAATTCCCCTTCCACCTTTTAGCTTGAAGTTGCCAGGAAAAAAAGGAGACAAATGAAAGGATGTGGTCATTTGGAGACCTGAGAGAATGAACTCTGTTTTCTCAGTATTGAAGTCAGCTGCTTCTGTTTGAATGAATCTTGCTTGCCTGAAAGCCATTTTATCAGTATCAAGGTAAATGAAGAAAATTTATGATCATTTAAGAAGTGAAAGGGCTTTATCTTGGATATGGTTTTGCCAAGTTAATTCTCAGCACTGTCATTCTCAAAGGCATTAATCTGCAGAACAATAAGGCTTTATGTAGGTTTTCTGGACAAGCACTGCTGTTTACTACTGCCAGCACAGGCACTGCCTCATTGATTTCCTAGGAATCCTAAGGAATAGGATCCTAGGAATCCCAAGTGCTCTCTGCTGGCTATTAGGCAATTGTAACAGTCTTCCCTAAACACATCTTTGATTAACTACTCACATCAGTCAGATCCACTATAAAAACCTGAGATAACATTTAAACAGCTGAATTTTCAAATATCAGCGTATATACTGCTGCACACATCTCATAACTATGCAATGACAGCAAAGCACCATAAGTATCAGGTTTTCCAGCTCGATTTGCAACTGCAAATAAAATATGATTAACACACTTGCATTGTAAATGCATAATAGAAATTTCTCTCGACAAAAGAATGAGGTGGCTTTTTTTTTTTTTTTTTTTTAAATCTATATAGCAATCTTTATTTCAAAATGGCATTTATTACAAAAAAATGTAAAAATCCAGCTAAACCAGAAACATTGAGATTATTTTCCTGGACTTAAAAGTTCACTGATCTTTGCCCCTATCTCCTTCTCCTTACAATATTTTCCCCACTTCCAGTCTGATTATATAGGTGCAGTTGAGCCTAAATGGCCTGGAATAGATAAATACATTAAGAAAGGCAAAAGTTGTAAAGCTAAATGCATGCAACAAGTTCTACCAGGAAAACACCCTCAAAAATAAACGTAAGTGTAAAGTAGAGAGAATCTGCAGGTGTCCAGGGATTTGCTCAGTCATCCTTGTCTTTTGCTCCATGTTTAAGGATGCGTGTAAATTCAATGTAGTTGAAATTGCCCTTTTTGTCAATTGGTGCCTCTCTGTAGAGCTCATCTACCTCTTCATCTGTGAACCTGTCTCCCATTGTGGTCAGCAGCTCCCGCAGGTAGTCTTCTTGAATGAACCCTAGAATGCAATGTAAGGGGGAACAAGAAAGAAAGTTTTGACATTTATCTTCTAAGAGTTGGATGACAATGTTTGAAACATTTCAAATTGATTTTTAAACACTGGACAAACTCACATTCACCAGACAGGTTACAAAGAAAACAACTTCGGCGCTGTTTATTAAACAAGCAGCTTCATATAAGCTGAGATTCCATTATTTTATCAACACTCCAATTACCAGCTTTCTCTTGAATTAATTTTGTTCTCCATTAAGTGCAAGAGAACAGAGAGAATATGGATACATGTTATTAACAGAGAACACAGTTTTCATAAAAGCATCCCAGCTTTGAAAACAAGGATATCCCCTAACAAAAGCTGCTGCTAAACTGAAGTTAGAAGTTCAGAAATTAAGACTTAGTTCCCAACTAACATTTTCTCCATCTTGAACAACAAATCTGAAGAAGCAGAAGTTTGGGATTTGAACTGTTACAGTACTTAAGAAGGCAATTTCAGCTGCTGAGGAAACACAGCTTAATTTTTAGCTGGCAGAAGTCAGAAATTCCATTCTAAAAATTGATCACTGCTTTTATGAACACAAGTATTTATCACTAATTATCACCCACATACCTGTTGCTTCTTCGTCAAAGCAAGCAAAAGCATTCCTGATGACATCTTCTGGATCAGTGCCGTTGAGCTTCTCACCAAACATTGTGAGGAACATTGTGAAGTTGATGGGGCCTGGAGCCTCATTCATCATGGCATCCAGGTATTCATCTGTTGGGTTCTTTCCTACAAATAAAAGGATTGCTGCTTTAGCTTTTAAACTAACATTAAAAAATGGATAAAAGTCACCTGAATATTGTAATACAAAGTGGGACACCTCTCATAAGCTATCCCAAACTCAGCGTTTTAATTACAATAGCACAAATACGTTTGGCAGCTGTAAACAGAAGAGAGACATTACCGAGGGAGGCAAGCATGTCGTGCAGGTCCTCCTTGTCAATGAAGCCATCCCTGTTCTGATCAATCATGTTGAAGGCTTCCTTGAATTCCTGAATCTGGGACTGATCAAACATGGCAAATACATTGGATGTGGCGCGCTGAGGGCGCTTCTTGGTGGTCTTCGTCTTTGCCCTTTTGCTGGACATGTTGGCAGTTGGCTCTAGGGAGAAAACACAACCAAAATTTGGACTTAATAAATAACACTAAAAGATCTTCGGGAGAAAGATGAACAAAGGGAAACTGAAACCCACACTGTAGTGAAATAACAAGCAATACAACTGTCTCCTGCTATATTTCAGGACTTGGAGAGATAATACTTCAAATCAACAGCATGGTACATTTTAAATAAAGCAAGTCGTAGTTATTGAAACCAAGCTCACCTAGTGCTTCTATTTCTGGTTCACTACCCCATCTGCCTCTTATACAAATTAAGATGACCTATTTAGCAGGTTAGGAGGTATCACTGACTTACAACAAAGAAGGACATAGGGGTCTGCTACCCTCAACATAGTATTCAGCAGTTAAATATATCAAGCAAGCAAGATAAACTAACATTTAAGAGGCAAAAATGTATTCTAATAAAATATTACTCAGACTCTAAAATAACTGCTGTGGAAGGAGCAGTAAGGTCTCACGATGCTCAATGACCCTGATGAAAGAGCAATGTTTTTGGGAAGGCTGTTGACCAACACTGGGGTCAGGGTGCTGAAACAAAGATCAGCCAAGCCAGTTCTACTGGAGTTCTTTCCAAGTGAGATAGAGGATCATGTTGGAAAAAGGATACTGACTTGGTTCAAAAGCCCTGCACTGCTAATCCCTTATTCAGTTCAACTATTACAGAATACGTATGCAAATGCCAGGATACTTTCTTCTTTTTGAAATTAATGACTTAATAGTTCAAGTTCAGAGATTGTTTCTTTTAAGTTATCAACATTTAGGAACGTTTCAGTATTTGCATAGATCTTTAAGCAGCTCTATCTACCACAAGTATATGAATGTCACTGTCTCCCTTGAGCTGTCAAATGAAGAAGTTAACAAGTAGTATCTTGCCTCTGAGTGCATTCATATCATCTGGATAGAAATGAGGCTTTCAGGCTAACTGCCTCTATTTAGGTGGAAAGATATACATCTAGCAGCCAGCTATTACTGATAATACAAATATGAAAAAGTGACTCAAACAATGAGAAGTGAACACAAAGACCTCAGTATTGCTAGGGACCAGAATATGGTAAGCTTGATTTACTACTGTTTCTGAAAGTACAGCACACATCTAGGCCTTAGTTTAGGCATAATAAAAGAACATGTGTTTATTTAATGCAAATAATCCACACAGCTAAGTTTTACCTTAACCAGACACCACCCCTCCTTGATTTTGGATTTTACACAAAGTACTTGCAACAGCTGTCCTGAGAGAGAAGGAATTTAAGCATCACTTCCAGTAAATTTCACAGTGTTGGCATTCTTGTGACAATGTACCACCAAGTATTGATTTTATAACTTCCTTTTCAAAATCATCTTGTTGGAAATGCATTTCTAATTAGAGTCACAGTGTAGTTCTAATGGCTTCAAGGAGTTTGCTCGCAAGTTACTACATTTTCCTGCTAGACTCCTGAAAAGCAAGCCTGAACTCACTAAACTGACTTCATCCCTAAGAAGTACAATAAGCAGAGCAGCACTCTTATGTGGTCAATCAATCTAACACATAGACAAAATGCAGCTACCTTTGGATTTTGCTTTGTTTTTAAAAGAAAGCCATTTTACCTTGCTTCCTGTCAGGTACGTGGCATGCAGTACCAGCTGTCTGGATCAGAAAAGGATATTCCATAGTTATGTCCTTCCCCACACGACTACAATGAGCGTTACTGACCTCCTCTGCTACTTCCACCCTTTTAAACCTTAGGTTGATACAAATAACGTCCTTCTGACGTATAAAACAAACCATTATGTCCCAAACCAAAAATAGCTGACGAAATGCAACTGTGCATCAGACGGCAGCACTGAGGTTGTCTGCATTACACTCGCTGACCGCAAGCTATCTGAAACGCCTGGCCTCCAGCAACGTTTCAGCAAATAAATATGAACTCCTGACATCTAGATACCAGTGAAGGCAGCTGACAATAAAGGGAGTTCACTTTCAAGCTGTAATGAAGAGCTGTGTGCAGCTTCAGTCTTTTAAAAACACCTATAGTTACTGCTAAGCTCTGAACAACCAATAAGTTCCACTGTGCAAAGCAACATTCACCAGTAACTGTTTTCTGAAAATAAAGAGCGGGCAATATCCTCAAAGCTACAAGTAAACAAAAAGCACATTTTATTTATATGCTTTTTTTTTTTTTTTTTAAAGTTTCTCTAAACCAGATTTGGGAGGCAGCCACAGAGAATACAGAGAACACAACTCTTGCACTCAGAGACCTTTGAGTGTTAGTCTGTGTATGGAGAAACATCTCATAGGACTGGTGCAGCTATGCCTGAAACAGATCCGCATGCAGCTCTGGGAAATTCCATTAGAAACAGGGCAATAAATTGGAACATGTTCAGAAAAAACAAGGCCACCAATTCAGCCAGCCAAAAAGATCAACTTGCGATGGAAAAGGTCCCAAGCGCTTGTGCTTAGCGTTATCTCTGTGCGTACAGCAGTGAATGACAGTGAATGAGAACTTCATTGGAGTCAAGCACAGGATTCACTAATCTGGGAGAGGATGGGACTTCATCTGACAAATTCACCGGATCATTTATTAAAAATAAGAGATAAAATAAATCATACCACTGGAATTGAGATAGCATAAGTTCAGACTGAAAACAAAATGTATCAGTAGATAAAATGAATGGAAGTACTTCACACTGGATAGCACAAGTTAGGACACATAATTTCATCTGTTTAATACAGAGCATTGATCTGTCTGGGCCTTGTTTTGGAAACAGAGAAACTTCTAATATACTTCAAACAAGATATTTCCAAAAACTTTTCTTCACGTGTAAAAATCTTCCCAAATAAGTCAGTACATTGCAGACACTGGACTAGAGAGACAGTAGCAGCACAGTGGTGCTTTGTGCTACTTGCACATGCACATGATTAGGCAGGCAATGGATAACAAGCTACAGAAACAAAGGAACTCATCTTATGCTCCTCCCCTCTGGGGAAAAGATAAACCCCAGAAGGACATAAAGCTGAGCAAGTAAACAGCTTGAGCCAGGCAATAATAAAACTTGACATCCCATTAATGGCAACAGAGGCTGGATCTGTTGAGAGACTGACCAAATGTTTTGCTGCAGAAAACAGCCTAGTGTCTTCAACATTTTCTTTATAATAATGATGAATGCCTATCATTCAAAATAAAACCAATCACAGTCACTAATAAAGTCTCGTTTTAAAACTTACTGCTGACTTTTATTGTAACACTTATTTCAGAACATTATTACACTAGGATATAACAGCCACCTTCTCTTCAACCACCAAGCTCAAAAGTCATCTTTGAAGCTGGCTCCCAAGTTCTCACCATGCAGTTGGTTACAGCATCAGGCACAGCCTGTCAGCTCTCAGGGCCCGGGGGGGAGTCTGAAAGAGCCAAAATGCCCAGCACACTCCACAGCAGCTCTGTGTAAAAGCTCTATGCACACCAGACTGCACTTGTCCAAAGCACTTTGTTAGCTCACCTAGTCTTGAAGGCTATCTCAATATTTTCTTTGTTAATAAGAATTCCTGACCACGTCTTGCATAGGTTGTAAAACCTACTGTGATACTTTGCTTTCATGACTGACCAAACCCTCCATTTGCAGGGTAGAGTGAAAACTGCAGTGATCTGTCATAAAAAAAAAAAAAAAAAAAATCACAGAATCATAGAAGTTTGAAGGGACCTCTGGAAATCATTCAGTCCAAACCACCATTAAAGCAGGTTCCCTCACAGCAGATTGCAAAGGAAAGCATCCAGGTGGATTTTAAATACCTCCAGAGAAGAAGACTGCACAATCTCTCTGGACAGCCTGTTCCAGCACTCTGTCACTCTTACAATAAAGGAGATTTTTCTCATGTTCAGATGGAAGTTCCTGTATTCCAGTTTGTGCCCACTGCCTCTTGTCCTGTTGCTGGGCACCACCAAAAAGAGTCTGGCCCCATCCACTTGACTCCCACCCTTTAGATATTTATAAGCAGTGGTAAGATTCACCTTAGCCCTTTCTTCTCCAGGCTGAACAGTCTCAGGGCTCTCAGCCTTTTCTCATAAGATGCTCTAGGCTCCTCGTCATCCCTGTGGCCTTCCACCAGATTCTCTCTAGAAATTCCTTGTCTTTCTTGAACTGAGGAGCCCAGAGCCAGACAGGGCACTCCAGATGTGGCCTCACTAGGGCCGAGCAGAGGGGGAGGATCACTTCCCTCGACCTACTGGCCACACTCTTGTTACTGCACCCCAGGATCCCATTGGCCTTCTTATCCACAAAAGCATACTGCTGGCTCACAGCCAACCCACTGTCTACCATTATGTACACAGGTCCTTCTCTGCAGAGCTCCTTTCCAGCAGGTCAGCCCCCAACTTGTTCTGATGCATACAGTTATTCCTCTCCAGACATAGGACTTTGGGCTTGCCCTTGTTGATCCTCCTCAGGTTCTGCTCCGCTGAATGGCAGCAGTCTTCTGATGCGTCAGCCTCTCAGCATCACATCATCAGCAAACTTGATGAGAATGCACTCTTATCTTCTCACCCAGGTAACAAACGAAGCCGAAGTTAAATGAGACCAGCCCCAGCACTGACCCATGGAGAACACCATTGGCTACGGGCCTCCAATCACTCTGTGATGCCAATCACAGCCCTCTGCGCTCTGCCAGGCAGCCAATTCTCAGTCCACCTCACTGTCTGCTCTCTCCCTGCACCCCCCAAGCTCACCTATGAGAACGTTATGGGAGACTGCCCTTAACAAATTCGTTATAGTCATAATTACTCCAAAACATAAGCACGAAAGCAAAAACGGCCTCCTTCCGATATCCCAAGCTTTTCCAGCTTCGCGAGCTCACAAGAGCGACAAGGAAACGGCTGGAGAAGGGCTGCGGGGCAGAGAGGCCGCCGTCCTCCCGCAGCCGCGCCCGCAGCAGCAGCAGCACACCACCCTTACAGGCAGAAGGTCCCGCTGCTCCGCGTTCAGCCTCAGCCCCCAGCCTGGCGGCAGGCCCCGCTCCCAGCCATCCCTCGCGGGCTGCCTGAAGCCCCCACGCCCTTGCAGCCTCACCTGGCGGTGACGGCACGAGGTCCGGCTCAGAGCGTGGCGATGCGAAGCGGCGGCTGCGGCGCTTCCGGACAGCGAGCGGCCGCCGCCCAACCGGTACACAGGAAGGAAAGAACGGGCGAGACCATCCCCGCCGGGGCGGAGGGGGCCCGCGAGGCTCGTCGCTTCAAAGCGGCGCGGCACAGCGCGAAGGGATCTCATTGTGCTCTCCCGCTCGGCCTCTAGCCGCTCTCACTGCGGTCCTTTGAAGTCCGACAGCCTTTTCTCTATCCTCTCAACCCCCCCACGTTGAGCGCAGTCTTGGTGCGGCGCGGTGCGGTCACCGCATTCCAGGGCGCGGGGGGCGGAGGCAGAGCCGCGCCTGCCCTTGTAAGGCAACGGCGGGAGTTTCCTGCCGGCGGGGCGGGTCGCCATGTCCCTACAGCGCTCCGCCGCGCCCTGCGGCCCCTCCTGCGGGAGGTAGGCGAGGTGCCTGCCTCGTGGGCGGTGCGGAGCTCGGCTGTTCTCGCTTTCTGACGAAAAAATCAATGTTCTCAGCCGAATACCCGGGGTGGTTTGGTACGGCTGGCAACCGGCTTACCCTGCACTTAGCAGTAGCACGTGTATAAAGATATAGGGGTACCTGTGGTCTATATCTAAAGTGTGTGGGTGTGAGTAGTGCTTACACCATGCAGCACTCATACTTGTGTTAAATGTTAACATCATGAGCAATAGCTAATAGACACACCACGGAGGACTTCAGACTGTAGCCTGCCTTACCAGAACCATATTTGCTTCATTGCTGTTGGCCTTTCACAAATCTTAATGAGAAAATGCATGCAATCTTTAATTTCAAGTACAGTGCAATTTAGAGAGTCACCAGATCTCAAACATCTTTAAGAAATGCAGATGGCAATAGTATTGACTCCAGGAGGGCAATTGTTTTCACAAATACTGATTAACCAGTTATGAACAAATACATTATTTGTAAAATTCTCAACAGCTCTCATCTAAACTTCTTTAGATTGCATAGAAGCTGCATAAAAAGTTATAGGAGGTCTTACTGCTCCCTATAGTGACCTGAAAGGAGGTTGCAGCGAGGACTTTTCTCCTGTGTGATTAGCGATAGGGTGAGAGGTGATGATCTCCAGTGGTGCCAGGGGAGATTCAAGCTGGATGTTAGGAAAAATTTCTTCTCAGAAAGAGTGGTCGGGAAATGGCACAGGCTGCCCAGGGAGTGGTGGATTTGCTGTCCCTGGAGGTGTTCAAGAATGTGTGGATGAGGCACTGAGGGGCATGGTTAGTGGGCAATATTGGTGGTAGGAGGACAGTTGGACAAGATGATCTTAGTGATCTCTTCTGACCATAATGGTTCTGTGCCTCTATGAGTTCCATTTTACAGAAACAAGCGAGAAAGGCAACTAGTGCTGCATAAAGGCTAAAGCTGCAAGTGGGAAGGTAAGAAGTCTTTCATTAAGGTTAGTAGTTAGGGCCCCAAATCCACTTCAGTGAGATTTGGAAACTTACACATTTGCAAAAGTCCAGTGAGCTTCCAATCTTTGGGTACTTCAATAACATCAAAACCTACCTTAAAATTATTTATCTGCTACTATCTCAGCGCCCAGAGATCCCTAGAGGGGAAAGTTTTCAAGGGCTGCTTGTAAACTTAGTCTTGGATGTGTGCTAGACTTAGCTACTCCTTCTAAGTTGCTTTCACTTCTGTGTCAGTGAATAATCTCACTGTGCAGTGTGAATGGAACAACTGTAGTGGACAATCTGCATGGGAGTGCCCGTGGTGGTTTTGATGGACAAAGGTCTGGCTTCCTAAACTTCCTTGATCACAGCTATCATGTTTTGCATCTTCCAAGTCTTTTCACACTCCAGTGTTACATAGTCTCCATTTGCTGCTTTTTTGGGAACTCCTCACACTGAATAATACCTCACAATTCCCCTCCATGGAAGTGATCTTAATGTCAGTCCAGGTTGGCAATTACAGCCCTAAATGAATTATATAAATTTATCAAGATGAGTTTGCAGCCAGCAGTTTCCTGGCCTTGTGGAAGTAAAGGGCCAGAATCTCTCATCTTTTTATCAGTGTGTCTTCTCCCTTGTGAGGATGCATTTTATGGGGAGAAGCATATTTTAACGAACCTCAGGCTCCGCGAATTTAAATGTTACTCAGTGAGATCCAGGGCATTCAAAGAAACAAAAGCTGAGCATGGTCTTCAAGCATTTAGCATTTAGCATTTATCAGTTTATCTAGTGCTACTCAAGTGCATTTCTCTCTATCTAAAAGCAAAACAATTACCAGATTAGTTAGTAAAAAAAAAAAAGCTTAATACATTTGCAGCACAGGTCAGGAGAATATGTGCTTGTATGGGATTAGTTTACATAAACAGTAGCATAGTTAGACTCTTGCTACATATAATCATTAAAAAAAACACTAGACTTTCTTACATTGTGAAAATCACCAACACTCAGGAAAGAAGGCATGTGTTCTGACATGGTACAGATTTCAGCAATTGATGCACATCTTGCACATTGTAGTGAAGAATATGAGGTGGTTGAGCAGCGCAGCTCCAGCTGAGGCCAGGTGAGAATGTGGCCCTCCACCTCCCTGGCCTATGAACCTGAGCCTGTGGAGAAGCTTCAGGCACTGCTGCTTTCTTCATGCAAGCAGGATTGCTTTGTTCTTGTTGTCTGCTTACTTCTTGCACAACTCAGTTAGAAGTCACAGTCTTGGGGGACATCCCAACTGCCATCCCACAGCTGAAATAAAGAAACATTTTGAACATGGAAAGTGACATGAGTGTACTTGAAAACAAACCAAACAGTAAGAGCTGCTGAGCCTGAGCTGCCATTCTTGCACAACATGAGGCCATGAATGATAGCATGAAAGATGTCAGAAGGGTTCAAAAAGGAGACTTATGCAGCCTATGACATGGAATCATGGAATCACAGAATAGCCTGGATTGGAAGGGACCTTAAAGCCTGCCCAGTCCCACCCCGTGCCATAGGCAGGGCTGGTCACCCAGCAGCTCAGCTGTCCAGGGCCCCATCCAACCTGGCTTTGAGTGCCTCCAGGGATGGGGCACCACAGCTTACATGGGCAGCTGTGCCAGCACCTCACCACCCTCTGAATAAGAAAATTCTACTTAACATCTAATCTCAATCTCTCCTCTTTTATGTCATAAAACTGTTCCACTTTGTCCTATCACTATCAAATCATGTAAAAAGTTGGTCTCTCTCCTACAACGTCAGCATCCTATGTCTGTGTCTGTCTGGGTCTATGTCTACCTATATCCTTAGTCCTCTGATCTTGCTGAAAAGCAAGTAATTGCAAAATAGTGGTTAAAAATGCAGCCTATTTATGTTATGCTGTGTAACATCAGATCTTATATTTATCTTTCTAGTGTTTTTTTCCCCATTGAGTTCTATCTTCATTCAACCATGCAGCCTTCGTACCCCCATGATCAACATTTTTAGTTTGAGCGATTCTGCTTGTTTCTTTCCAACCTCACAAAGGCATCTCATTCTCACTTTCTTCCCTTGCGTTACACATGAAGGAGGTTTGTCTTTCTGTCTGGGGACAAGACCTGGTTCTGTTGCTGAGCCTAATGCATCAAGCGATGTCCTGGGAACTGCAAGTAACTGAAGGAGGAGGTGGATGTGTGTTTTACTTCAAGCAGCTGTCTGCTACTTTTCTGCTCCTTGCCTAGCCCAGGACGGAAAGACTCCACAGCAATCGCAGCCCCGTGCGCACACCGAACACCTGGCAGCAGAGAACCTGGTGCTGGCAGTCTGCCTCTCTGCAGGGCTCCGGCCGATACCGGCTGCCGCCACCAAGGGGAGCCTTGGCGTTGATCAGGAGACCGGGAGGCGGGCGGGGCTGCTGGAACTGCTGGAACACACGCGGGAAGGGACACGGTGAAATGGAATTAGTCCACGTTAGGCTAAATTGTATTGCGGTACAGGGCTGGAGCACCTCTGCTACGAGGAGAGGTTGAGGCAGCTGGGCTTGTTCAGCCTGGAGAAGAGAAGGCTCGTTGCAATGTTCAAGTACATAAAGGAAGCCTATAAACAGAAGAGACTGATGACTTTTTGCATGGTCTAATAGCGATAGGACAAGGGGGAATGGATATAAACTAAAAGAAGGGAAACTTAGTTTAAATATGGTGGACGGTTGGACTGGATGATCTTGGAGGTCTTTTCCAACCTTGGTGATTCTATGATTCTAAATATAAGGAAGAAATTCTTCACACAGAGGGCAGTGAGGTGCTGGCACAGCTGCCCAGAGAAGCTGTGGTGCCCCATCACTGGAGGGCTCAGGGCCAGGTTGGATGGGGCCCTGGGCAGCTGAGCTGCTGGGTGGCAGCCCTGCAGGGGGTTGAGGCTGGGTGGGCTTCTGGGTCTGTCCAACCCAAACCATAATCTGGTTCTATGATTCTATTGAAGTAAGTGGGAAAGATCCTATGTGGACTCCTGGAAATGATGGTTAGAATGCTTCTGAGTTCTTCACATGTCTGAAACAATCATTTTTTTCCCCATAAATTCCTCAAAATGATAATCTACCTTATTGTAGTAGGGCCTCCTTGGTCTGCTTCAGTGCTGTTAACAAATTTTTAGTAAAAACAACTAGTGTCTCCAAGCTCTGGATGTCTCAGAAGCTTCTCTGAGAACTCAGTTTTTATAACACCATGTGAAGCATGGCATCGCATTTTCATCTGTAATGAAACATTAAGCAGCATCTCTGGTTTCATTAAGGGCTGGGTGAGTCAGTACATATTGATTTTATGAACTGCTCAGTATTTTCTCTGGGATGGATTTTATGGTATTTCAAACAAATACAGCAGCAACATCATGGCAATCAACAACACTTATGTTAATTATATTTTATTCTTGTTTAACAAAATTAATCTAGTTGTTTTCAGGAGGGATACTTGGGGAAGTGCAATGTGTCAGAGCTGGCCTACAACTCAAATGAGGTTTGCAGATCTTCCTGTGAGTCTGGGTTGAATTTAGAACTGGCCAGAAGGAAATTTTGAATAAATCTGGATTGAATAAAATGCCCAAGTGCTTGGAAAGTATATGAAAACAAATAGTCTAGAGTAAGAAAAAAAGAAAAAGAA